GCCAGTCCAATTGAAACATGGGTATGTGTTGTTATGTGTTATCTGACGACCTCTGAGATCTTACAGTAAAGTCAAGGGGAAAAAATATGCCAAGTTTTAGTCTTGGGTCAAATAGGAAGACACAGAACATTGCAGCTGTTAATTAATCCAAAACCAAATAATTTTTCCTCAAAAATAAATTCTCCTCTGAATGTTATTTATTTTTGTCATTACCACTGTTCTAGTTATCTAGGTATAAAATCCTTACACTTATGGAAGACAGAATCAGGGCATATTTGTATAAATTAATAGTATGATAAGGAACACAAAAGATTTCAGAATTAATTCTGTGGGGCTTTTTTGGAGAAAGTAATATATTAGCTGCAGCTCCCAGTCAGCCACATAATCATGAGTGTTAAAAACTGATACTCTACAGTGAACTGTATTGCCAGATGATTTTGCCCAAGTATAGCTTAATTTTGTAAGTGTTCTGAGCACATTTAAGGCAGGCCAGGCTATGATGTTTAGCAAGTTAGCTGTATTAAATTCATTTTCAACTTATGATATGTTCAACTTACTGGACTTAGGAGGACATAACCCCAACTTCATTATAAGTCAAGGAGAGTCAATCTATATATAGAGATTCTCTCTCTTTCTCTCTCACTTGCTGTCTGTAGCTTTTGTATTACTAGCTGATCTTGTTTTGACAGTATTTTTTGTTTGCCCCTTTTCTACTGCTAATCACCTTATAAATGTATTATGATGAAATCTCTAATAGTTTTTCCTCCATTTAAGTACTCATAGATACCACCAGCAGATTAACTTTCTTAAGATATTTCCTTTTACATGACAAAACTTCAGAAGTTCCCATTGCCTTTGAAATAAAAAGTTCAAAATGAAAGCCTTCCCCAATCCAAGAGCTATAACTATATATCCAAATCTCTCCAACCAAGTCAACAGATGAAACAACACATGATTCAGTTCAGTGCAGCCTTTATTAAAGCCATCAGCAAACATTTAGTAATCATTTATTGGAAGGAAAAGTAAAGTCTCTAAAGGTATTAGGAAATCTCCAGAGATTTACTATGATAAAGGAGAGGTACATGTGGACATACCTAACAGTAGAAGATATCTATCCCATAAGCCAGATCGAAACATACTTGGTGTTTGAAGAAGGACAGAAGTAGGGCCTTGATTAACTATATAAATAAATCTGTATTTGCTTACATAGGTTGGTCTTCAATTCAAAACTAGACTAGACAACTGCAAAAAAAGGGGAAAAAAGGAAAAAGAGAGAGAAGGCAAAAACTAACAAAAGGAAAAAAAACTAGACACTGGTGGGGAAATCTTGTCTAATTCAACATCTACTGAGCATAATGTGAATAGAATTAAGTATTCTATATGAAATACAAATAAAGAACTATAAATTTTTTTGAGGTTGAGTCTCACTCTGTTGCCTGGTCTAGAGTGCTGTGGTGTCACCATAGCTCAATGCAGCCTCAAACTCCTAGGCTCAAGCAATCCTCCTGCCTCAGCCCCCCAGTAGCTGGAACTACAGGAATGTACCACCATGATAATTTGTCTCTTTGTTTTTTGGTAGAGATGGGATGTTGCTATGTTGACCAGGCTGGTCTCCAACTCCTGTCCTCAAGCAATCCTCCCATCTAGGCCTCTCAAAGTGCTAGAATTACAGCTAGGAACCACCATGCCTGGCCACTTTTCTTTGCTTTTAAGCTAGCCCCTTCTCCAAGTAAACAATTGGGGTTGGGCATATAAATATTCAAAACATTAAATGAATGACAGAATTTCACTACTAGTTAAATAGAAATGCAGAAGAAAAGGGAGTTATGGCATAGTGGAATTTTAAAATGTACGTCAGAGTGGTGGGGTTAAGGTGGCTCACACCTATAACCTATCACTCTTGGAGGCTTTGACCTCCAGAAGTAGGAAGATCAGGAGTTCAAGACCAGCCTGACAAGAGCCAGACCTTGTCTCTACCAAAAATAGAAAAAATTATCTATGTGTTGTGTGCCTATAGTCCCAGCTACTTAGGAGGCTGAGGCAGGAGAATCACTTGAGCCCAGGAGTTTGAGGTTGCTGTGACTATGATGATGCCACTGCACTCTAACCCAGGTGACAGAACAAGAGCCTGTCTCAAAAACAAAAGAATGTACTTCAGGGCTTCTATATACAGTCATGGGCCACATAACGAGATATTTCAGTCAACAAGGGACCACGTATATAACAGTGATCTGATAAGCTGTAGCTCAGTGGCTAGGGCGCTGGACATATACACTGGGGTTGGCAGCTTCGAACCTGGCCCGGGCCTGCCAAATAAGAATGACAACTACAACAAAAAAATAGCCAGGCATTGTGGCAGGCACCTGTAATCCCAGCTACTTGGGAGGGTGAGGCAAGAGAATCACTTAAGCCGAAGAGTTTGAGGTTGCTGTGAGCTGGGATGACACAGCACTCTACCAAGGACAACATAGTGAGACTCTGTCTCAAAAAAAAAAGATTGTAACAGAGTTGAAAAATTCCTGTCACCTACTGATAATGTAGCCGTTGTAACACCATAATGTAACACATTATCTTTTCTGTGTTTAAATATGCAAGTACTTAGCATTGTGTTATAATTACCTATAGTTATTCAGTAGAGTAACATGCTATACAGGTCTGTAGCCTAGAAGCAATAAGCTATATCACATAGCCTAGGTGTGCAGTAGGCTATACCATCTAGATTTGTGTTAAGAACACTATGACATTTAGGGAGAGGGGAGGTGGGGGGGATTGGTGTGCTCCCACTTAACAGACACAAAGTAAAGGCATATGGCATGCTTCTTAGGTATGGGACACAATTACAAGAGGGACTCTACCTAACAAATGCAAACAGTATAACCTAGTTTGTACCCTCACATTAACCTGAAATTAAAAAAAAATACTATGATATTTTACAACAATGAAATCACCCAGTGATGCATTCTCAGGACATACTCCCATTGTTAAGCAATATGTGACTATATCTGGAAATGTAATGAAAACTATAAAGGTATTATTATTGTATAAGTGTTCAGACAGTTATACAGACTTATACCACCCCAGAAGAATAGTCTGTTACTGATTTAATCAGTTCTCCAAATGCAGCCAGAGTGATTTTTTTTTTTTTTGAGACAGAGCCTCAAGCTGTCCCCTGGGTAGAGTGCTGTGGCATCACAGCTCACAGCAACCTCCAACTCCTGGGCTCAAGCAAGTCTCCTGCCTCAGCCTCCCAAGGACCACAGGCGCCCGCCACAACACTTGGCCATTTTTTGGTTGCAGCTGTCATTGTTGTTTGGCAAGCATTGTTGTTTGTGGGCTGGATTCAAATCTACCACCTTAGGTGTATGTGGCTGGTGCCTTAGCCACTTGAGCCACAGGCGCCAAGCCCAGAGTGATTTTTTGAAAACACAAATTTAACCATGTTACCCATCACTTAAATTCTTCAATGGCCTTCCACTTTTCTTAAGATAGACAAACTCATTAAAAAGCATATAAGATCCTACATGGCCTGACCTCTATCTTTCTAGTCTTTTTTATTTAACCCCAGAATCACCAGCATTTTTTGTTCTCATTTTCTCTGCTATAGTTAATTCCTACTTACTATTCAGGACTCAGCTGCTTTATTGTCACTTGTTAGAGCAAAACACCTATTATGGCTACTCACAGAACACTGTACTTCTTTGGAGCACTTACAATTTTAGTTTAAAATGTGATTATTTAATGTCTACTTCTACCATAGACTGTAAACTCTATAATGGCAGAGATTTTAGGTTAAAATCTTCCACATTCTATAAAATGTCATTTTTTTTTTGTTTGAGACAGAGCCTCAAGCTGTCCCCCTGGGTAGAGTGCTGGGGCATCACAGCTCACAGCAACCTCCAACTCCTAGGTTCAAGCAAGTCTGCCTCAGCATCCCAAGTTGCTGGGACCATAGGCATCCGCCACAACACCCAGCTATTTTTTGGTTGCAGCCGTCATTGTTGCTTTGGCGCACCCAGGCTGGATGTATGTAGCTGGCGCCTTAGCGCCACTTTAGGTGTATGTAGGTGCATCTATATTTAAACAACAATCTAACCACTCGAAGCTCGCATTTATCTGGAAAATATGGATGACCTTAAAGATATATTGTACATATTAAATGTAAAACATATATAAAGCTCTTAAAAATATATATGGTAGATGGTGATAAATGCTAAATGACCAGTGCTTATGAATTATAAGTCCTATTCCTAATTAATTCATGTTTCCAAAGTGTATTTCCCCAAATACTTGATTTAATACCACTGAACAATTCTGATATTCTTTTAAGGTGGTTAAAAAGATGCTGAGAGATAAAAGAGATTCAAGAACTGTTACTTCTTTTGTTATAATTTTTAAAGTAATTATGTCATTCTTATGAGTTTCCTCCCCATTATTTACTATTTATCCCAGATTTCTTTATTATTTTTAAGATAGATTCAAGCCATAACAAGATGTATTTAAAATATGTAAAAACATAAAATTTATCTTGAAATGCGTATTTTATTTCATTAGCCAATGATCATCTATCAAACAAAGGAAAGAATACTAATTTCATGAAGAAAGACAGATCTATGGAGTGGTTTACAGGAAGTGAAGAATGAGATGGCTCAACTAAAGAAACTTGGAATCATTAACGACAAAATGTCAAACCAACTGCAAGACAAGTGTCAAAACGGACATTTAAGTGGTTTTACAATGATACGCACTTCTTGATCATTTTATTTTTCAGAATTATATGTAAACATTATACAAATCATAGTAAATAGGTAAAGATACCAATCTAAGAAAGTAGTGATTTGCAATACAAAGATTTTTTTTTGAAATTTTCCCATCTTCAAATCATATGCTGTCATCTGAGGTACTTAAGTTGTTGCTTGACCTTCCTCAATTTGACAAGAAAAGTTAATTTAAGAGAAGAAAAAAGGAAGTTCATTACATTAATTAAAGGGGGAAAATACCATTTAATATGGTCTAAAAATATTACAGTGTATAGACCTAGCAATATAGGGAAATGATCCATATGGAAAATCAAAATGTGATTCTTCTGTTGTAAAACAAACCATGTACTATAAACTACATAAAAAGGGTTTATAATTTGTTCACAGAAACTGTTGGAAATATAAATTACTGTCATATTGTAAGTTTTTCTCCTCAGTTATTTTTTTCTGGCATTTGTTTTAGAACTACTCTGCCAGCTATGTAAACAATTTGTCAGTGATTATATTATAAACTAATATATGGTTTTATAACAAAATGGATAAGCCTGTATCATAAATCAATGGATCTTTGAAAACTTGTTCATGGCCTAAATAATGTGTACCTACAATAAGGACTTAAACTCAGTTCTTCAAAGAATTACAGCAGCATCTCAGAAGTTGCTTTTTGGAATATTAGCTATTTGCATACCAGGTCCTACTAAATTCATTATTTTCAGTAATAATCACTGATCTAAATTAGAAACATTTCTTAGTATATTTAAATTATTTCACAAACCAAGCTTCTTAGGACAAGTGAAATACAACTATTAATAAGAAGTTCAATTCTTCAAAGGTATCAGTTTTATATAAAAAGCAAGAAAAGTCATTCTGTCCTTTATACATTTTAATTTAACAGAATAAATATAACATTTCAATTTCTACAAGAAAGGAAAATTCCTGAGGAATATTTCCATAACCTATAGGGACTCAGGAACTCATTTTTCCTTTACTATTGCACACGCATGCATAAAGTAAAATTGAAGCTTACCATGATCATCCTCTTGAAACATCTCACCTCAACTCCAATTTTCTTTTGAGAATGTAATTGTAAATCTGTGTTGACTCTAGGTTCTACTTTTGGAAGTAAAATTCCATTTTTCTGTTTTGCAAGGCAAACCAATCCCTGACAGTGACCTCACTTATTTTTTCACATGAAAGAGCAAGTTCACAGATGCGAATTCCATCTTAAAGTTCAATAACCTGTGTGATGCTTTCAGAAAGTGAAAAATGATGCTTTCAGAAAAAGTGCATTTCTACTAAAATAATAACTTTATATTTAAGTTCACTATACTTCCTACCTAAATTTAAATGCTATAGTTAAAGCAACGTGGGGGCAGTTGAAAATTCAACTTAGGGTGCATAAGTTCAACTTCACAGAAAACTAAGTAAAAATATACAGAGACTATAACATTACTGGTCACATTATACTTTTAAAATTTTTCTTCCAATCTGTCAGAAGAAATATGCATCATATATTACTATTTATGTAAAGGATGATTTAAACAGCAACAAATGATTTGGTACACATGTCATTTTATAACCGTTTTACAAGATGACATACACCTTTCTCAGTTACAAAAAAGAACATTCTAAGAACAAACATTGTTTGTTTAGTACTTAGGCAAAACAAAAGTGTTTTTAAAAATCACATTACAAAGAAAAATAACACTACACACTTTGTTAGATATACAACACATACACCACCCTGTTTAAGATTTAGGTATAAAACAGGCAAAGCAACATGAGGATTTAACATATTCAACACTACCTATAGAGGAGGAGAAAGAGAACTAGATCAATCTGATTCTGTTTAAATAAAGCATAAGCTTTCTTTTCTTAATGTGGTGAAATGATACACTTTTGTAAAGCAATTACCCAATTAAAGTATTTCATTTCTTTAGAATACAGTCCTATTAACTATTGTTTTATTGTTCCCAAAGGTTATGTTTATTATTATATAATTTGTCATAATACTTGACAATACATAAAATCACAATGGTGGGGCCAGGTGCAGTGGCTCATGCATATAATTCTAGCAATCCGGGAGGCTGAGGCAGGTGGATTACCTGAGCTCACAGGTTTGAAACCAGCCTGAGCTAGAGCAAGATTCCCCCATCTCTAAAAATAGCCAGTTGTTGTGGCAGACTACTACCTGTGGCAAATACTTGGGAGGCTGGGGTAAGAGAACCACTTGAGCCCAAGAGTCTGAGGTTGCTGTGAGCTATGATGCCACAGCACTCTACTAAGGATGACGAAGTGAGACTCAGTCTCCAAAAAAAAAAAAAAAAATCACAATGGTATATCTTTCACTTAGCAAAGTTAATACAGAAATTCTTCCTTGATTATGTATGTGTATAGAAATATAGTAAAGAAAGATTCCTGTATTGTCAATATTGACAAGTGCAAAACATGTCATTACAACATAAAAAATTAAAACATCTGCAATAATGTGAATTTCTATCACCAAATTTTATACAATGATTTAGTTACGCTTTGGCAAAAGAAATTCACATTATTTCAAATATGTTTTAATTTTTCAATTATGTTCAGAGGAAAAGCTCTGAAAAGTTTAGAGGGTCTAAAATGTAAGAGATCATGTCCCTTATTTTCTCTTTATTATTCCTTCAATTCAGAATACAGGACAATATTCACAAAAGATGCTAAATAAGTACAAAGAATAAATGAATAAAATTTTCCAATAAAAAATTAAAAATGAAAAAAAACCTGGTCAAACCAGAAAATAAAGTAAAATTTTGTTGGATAATTCCAGAAAGCTTAGAGTTGTTAGCACAACTGTTTACTAAATGACATAGTATTCTATTATTTATATGTTTTTTAAAAAATAGCTTTAATGGGTCAAGGGACAACATTCATTAATTTATTCACCAGATATTTATTAAGCAACCTCTGCATACCAGGCATTTTGCTAAGAGGAAGATATAATGAGATTTTATATTCTGTTTCGTGGAAATTCACATTCTAATGAAGGGATAGGCATTAAATAAAAACCCAACAAACATACAAATACATGGCATAGAGAAAGATGGTGACATGAACTACAGAATTGTAAAGCAGTATAAAAGGTATAGAGAGTACCAGGGTGGGGACAGGAGGTGCCATTCTTTTTTTTTTTTTTTTTTTTTTTTTGAGACAAGGTCTTACTTGTTACCCAGACTACAGTGCCATGGCATCAGCCTAGCTCAAAGGAACGTCAAACTCCTGGGTTCAAGCAATCCTCCTGCCTTAGCCTTCCCAGTACACAGATGCCTGTCACAACACTGGCTAATTTTTCTATCTTTGGTAGAGATATGGTCTCATTCTTGCTCAGGCTGACCTCAAAGTCCTGAATTTAAGTGATCTTCCTACCTAGGCCTCCTACAGGTGAGAGCCATCACACCTGGCCAAGAGGTGCCATTTTATACAGTCAGTGAAGAGACATGCAGAAAACAATTAAGCTTACCATGTGGAGATTTAGGGAGGAAGTAGGCTCCTGGTGGAGCAAATACAAATGCTCCAAGTCTAAAGACAAGCGCGGGAGCTCACGCCTATAATCCAAGCACTCTGGGAAACTGAGGGTAGATTGCTTGAGTTTGCGAGGTCAAGACCAGCCTGAGCAAAAGCGAGACTCTGTCTCTACTACAGAGGCAAAAAGATCACTTGAGCCCAAGAGTTGGAGGTTCCTGTGAATTGTGATGCCATGGCACTCTACCCAGGGTTACAGGTTGAGACTGTCTCAAAAAAAAAAAAAAAAGAGAGAAAAAAAAATTCTCGGAATCTAAAGTAGCCACTGTTGCCCTAGCAGAGACAAAGGGGGCAAGTGGTAAGTAAGAGATGGGTCTAAGGCAGTGGATAAGGATGGAGAGGACAAATTATGTAGACCATTTATCCTTAGTTTTACCCAAAGAGAAAAGCCACTGGAAAGAAAGTTTAAAGAATGAAAAGACCTTTCTTAAAAATTTTTTTGCCCGTGGTAAACATAAAATTTGTTATTTTAACCATTTGAAGTGTACAATTCAGTGTCAGTAAGTATACCCAGACTTATTTTTGAAGTCCATAAGCAGAAAAGACTGAGAATGCAAGGAAAGATAACTATGGTGGTGGCTTACAATAGCAAACAGGAGTGGGTGTGGTTATTTCTAAGTTAGAGCTACTTAGAATGTGGATTGGCTGTGAGTTGTGAGAAAAAGAGAGGAGCTGAGGTTGAATCCAAAAATTTTAGCATAAGCCACTGAAAGAATGGAGATGTCATCTATAATGAGGAAAATGATAAACACCATAGGAGCAGCAAGCTTGTGGATAAGGCGAATTCAAGTTTGGACATGTGTGTAAGATGTCTTTTAAATATCCAAGTAGATATTTCAATGACTGAAGCAAAGCATCAACAGATGGACAGATTGTAGTTTTAGTGCACTGTTGATTAGGACCAAAATCAGATAACCAAGAAATCTGCTAATCCTCTTGATGCTCTATTCCCAGTTATCAGCATCGCCACTCATCCAGTTACTCAAACCAGAAACTTGGAGTCATCATTTTCTCTTTTATTCCTTTCTTTTTTGGTAAAAGGCTAGTCAAGGAGCCATTATTTTCTTTGAACTCTCTTTTGCAAATCTGTGGGGTTCTGAAGGTTCCATTAGAATAAAAGTCTCACAGATCTATCTCCCAAGTGTTTCTCAAATTATTCCTATGAACACTACCTTAGGTTAAGACTTCATATCTTGTTGGAATATTACAATAGCTTTCTGCATAGACCAGTGATTTTCTTTCTTTTTTTTTTTTTTTCTTTTTGCAGTTTTTGGCCAGGGCCGGGTTTGAACCCACCACCTCGGGTATATGGGGCCCATGCCCTACTCCTTTGAGCCATAGGTGCCACCCTAGACCAGTGATTTTCAACTGGTGTGTGCACCTCAAAACTTTTTAAAAGATCATGAATTAAATTATTTTTGAAAAGAGTTCAAAACATGGTAAGTATATTCTTTTTCTTTACTTTTTATTTGATCAACATAATTTATGCTCCCAAAGTTTCACTATAAGTCAGTGGTTCTCAACCTTCCTAATGCCACAGTGTATTTTCATTGTTACAAAGAGGTCAGGACTCACAGGTTGAGAACCACTGCTATAGGTTCAAGTGTGCTGTGAGATAAAAATGATTGAAAAACATGGATGGCGCCTGTAGCTCAGTGGGTAGGGCGTCGGCCCCATATACTGAGGGTAGTGGGTTCTGGCCCAGCCCCGGCCAAACTGCAACAAAAAAAGTAGCGGAGTGTTGTGGTGGGCGCCTGTAGTCCCAGCTACTCAGGAGACTGAGGCAAGAGAATCGCCTAAGCCCAGGAGTTGGAGGTTGCTGTGAGCTATGATGCCATAGCACTCTACTAAGGGCAACAAAGTGAAACTCTGTCTCTACCAAAAAAAAAAAAAAAAATTGAAAAACAGTTCTAGATTGAAAGCTCTTTGGAATGTATAATTCATACTTCACACAGTATATGGCAAATGGCAGGTCCTTAATGAAGCTTGTTGAATCAAGAAACAAAGTGGTTCAGTAATTCAACAGAAGGTGATAATCCTCCAGCGAGATGATTAAGGGATATTCCATGCAGGCAATGACTTTGATCTAAACTGTGAAGGGTCAGTAGAGTTTAAATAGGTGGAGAAAAGGGAAAGGAGGGAAATCTTAATGAAAATCATAATATTTATTTAATGCTTACTATGTACCAGGCACTATTCTATGCACTTTATGTGAATTCTCTCATTTAGTCCTCAATAACTCTACAAAATGGGTACTACTGTTATTCCTGTTTAATCTGTGAGGTGACTGAGGCATGGAAAGATAAGAGTTACCAAGGTCACACTGGCTATTAAAGAGCTCAGCCGTGAATCAGACTAAATGGACTCTAAACTTATTTTCCTCTAGTCCTTTCCCTTCCTTCCTTTTTTTTTTTTT